TTTCTTTCTTTCTTTCCTTCCTTCCTTCCTTCCTTCCTTCCTTCCTGTTTTTTTTGGGGGGGTTAACTAGGTTTATTCATTTATTTATTTTATGGGAGGCACTGGGGATTGAACCCAGGACCTCGTTACCTTGTGCATGCTAAGCATGTGTTCTTCCATTGAGCTATACCCTCCCCCCTTAACCTCTTTCTGATCCTCAGCTTTCTCAGTATTATTTATGGGGATAGTATTTATCCTCATAAATGGGGTTAACAACAAGCATGTCTGATATGCTAAGTAATTTTTAAGGTCTTTGCAGAGCCCAAAGCAAACAGAAGGAAGGAAATAATAAATATAAGAACAGAAATCAGTGAAATTGAAAACAAACGAGAAGATCAGTGAAACCCAAGCTGGCTCTTTGAACCGGGTCTCACCCGCAGCTAGTTGCCCGCTTCAGAGCCAGCCCTCTGAGACAGAAGCCGTAGGGCCAGGGTGCCTGCCCAGATGTGCCCTGCCCAACTGTTAGAGCCTGAAGGCCAGGGCCTGTCTTAGTTCTGGCTGCCATAAAAAAAATCATAGACTGGGTGGCTTAACAACAAAAATTAATTTTCTCAGAGTTTTGGAGGCTAGAAGTCCAAGATTAAGATGTTAGCATGGTCAGTTTCTGGTGAGGGCTCTCTTCCTGGCTTATAGATGGCTGCCTTCTCACTGTGTCCTCATATGCCAGAGAGAGAGACAGAGACAGAGCCGACAGAGCCAGAGCGCGCATGAGAGGGAAACAGCAGGCTCTCTGGTGCCTCTTGTTATAAGAGCAGTAATGCCAGCGTAAGGGCCACACCCTCATGACCCCATTTAACCCTAATTACCTCCCAAAGGCTCCAAATACTATCACGTTGAGGGGTTAGGGCTTCAACACATGTATTTGAGCAGGAAGAACAGTTCTGTCCATAGTAGTGGGTAAAATCAGCTGAATGTTGGCTCGTCCAACTGGGCTCCTTTCTGTCTGGGTCTCTAGGTACTGGCCTGGTCCCAGCAAGGCCAGCGTGCCTGACATCAAGTAGGTGCTCCTTATGTGTCAGATGAAAGCCTGGACAGAAAGAAAAAGGCTGCTCTAGTCTGGTGCAGGGGTCCCCTGTGACCTCTCCATGGAGCCTCTGCCTTGCAACTCTAGTGACGGGGAGCTCACTCCAACACAAGACTGCTATGGCGGGGAGCACATTCATTATGGGGACCTGAATCTAGTTCCCTGTCACCTCCACCCATTACTCCTGCTTGTCCCCTGGTTTCCGGTAGACTCTCCTGGATGACTTCTTGACCTTTATGTGAACCTGCTGACCTCTGCATTCCCTGGAAGTGACCATTCTGCTGACCTCATTGCTTCTGTAACTAGCCAGGATGAGAGGGTAATTTGATCAGATGATCCCAGCGGCCTCACAAATCTCTCAGAAAAAGCACAGGGCAGAAAAGAAAGCAGCACTGGCCACCACATGCCAGGTTGATCGTAGCAGTGCTGTGTGTCACACAGCTCTGGGTGGTGCCTTCTGGAGTCGTGCAGCGTGGGCAGCTGTGGCCCAGGAGCCCATATGCCTGTGAATCCTGAATCCCTGACACGCTCTGGCTTTCTCAGAACTAAGTGACATGAGAGATTGTGTAGGATGCGGTGGCCGAGGGAGGCATCTGTCTCCATCCCTTACAGGCAGACCTCATTTTCTTGTGCTTTCCTTTACATATTGGGTGGGTTTTTTTTTAAAAAACAAATTGAAGGTTTGTGGCAACCCTATCTTGAGCAAGTCTGTCAGCACCATTTTTCCAACAGCACTTGCGCACCTCATGTCTCTGTGAATATCGCATGATAATTCATGCGATATTTCAAACTTTTTCATTATAATTATATTTGTTATGGTCATCTGTGATCAGCGATCTTTGATGTTACTCTTGCAAAAAGATTACGACTCGCTGAAGATGATGGTTAGCAGTTTTTAGCAATAAAGTATTTTTAAATTAAGGTATGTACATTTTTTTTTAAGACACGATGCTAGTGCACGATAGACTACAGTGTAAACTTAACTTTTATATGCGCCGGGAAACCAGAAAATTCACGTGACTTGCTTTATTGCAGTACTTGCTTTATTGCTGTAGTCTGGAACCCAGCCTGCAGTATCTCCGTGGCAGGCCTGTATTAATTACACTGCGGCTGAGAAACAGGAGGTAGCCTGCGAGAAGGGATGGAAGGGCAGGTTGTTCCAGCCCAGCAGGGGACCAGTCCCAGCATCTGCTTCTACAGGGCTTCCTATGTTCAGGGGACTCCATTCACCCATTGGTTCATTCACTTAACATTTCTTGAGCGCCTGTTAAGTGCCAGGCACTGTACTAGGAGGCATGGATGCAAACACAAACAAGCCAACAACCTTCCTCTCAAGGAACTCAGGGTTTGATACAGATGATGTGGAAACAGAGCTATTCTGATGTGAGAAGAGCCGGTGCATCTGTATTTTCAAAGGCCTATCAGAACAGAGAATGGATTTCCGAGCTCATCCAAAGGAGGGCTGGGAAGTTGCTGCATAGAGGATGCCATGTTTGAGCTGGGCTTAGGAGGGGGAGTAAGAACCCATTACGTATCCTGTCCAGGGAAGGGGCAGTAGGTCGGCATCGCCAAGTGAAAGCTGTGTTGGGGTTGCAGTCAAGGCAGGAGGGGCACTAGGCAAGTTGTGAAGGGCCCTGTGTCTATGCTCTATCCTGGTGGGGGTGGGGTCCAGCAGAGACTGGAGGCGATCAGATTCCTGCCCTGCCTTAGAAGGACTAATTGCTCCGGAAGAGGCGGCGAGGGGGAGGGGGAGGCAGAGGCAAGGGAGGAGGCAGAGTCCTATTAGGAGAGGACAGAAATGCCTAGGAAAGGCAGAGTGATGGTCTGTCTGAACAGAGGATGATGAGGATGAACTGGCTTTGGGAGTCATTTGAGGAGAATTGAGAGGGAGGAGGGGAGGGGGAGGAGGCGGAGAATCACCTTAAGGTGGGGGGCACGCATGGAGCTGGTTTGGGGCAGGGGTTGGGAACATAAAGTGGTTCCAGATAGGTGAGTTTCAGGTGCCTGCAGATACCTCGGTAGAGACAGATTCGCAGTTGGAAAAAGAGTTCTGGAGCTCAAGAGATATCAAGTTTGGTGTTAGATGGAGGGATGTTTTCAGGGAGAGGGGCTGAGATCAGAGCCCTGGGAACACAGCTTCCTAAGGGATAAGAGAGGGAAATAGAGCCTCCCGAAAGAGAGGAGAGGCCAGAGAGGGAGAATTAAAAACCAGATTGGAGGAGGCAGTGATGGGCAGCTTGGGCTCTGCTGGGAGATCATGGAAGGCCAAGACCAAAAAACACCCATAGGGCTTGGCAGTGAGAACGTGGCAGAAAGTTGCCCACGTTGAGGTTGCAAGTCACAATTTGAGAGTGACTTCAATCCAAACCATTGGATTGTGCAGAATTTTTAGCCACTTTTGGCAGCAAAGCCAGTGGTTGGGTTGATCTGGGGTTGAGGATTGTCCGGGTAGGGAGGTGATGGGATGGCAGAGATGCATGGGGTGTGGTGGCAAGGGAAGTGAACTTGGGCAGGTTTCCCTGGAGAGGCCTGTACCTACTGAGTAGGTGGAAAGGCAGGTTTCCCAGGTGAGAGTGAGTGCAGAGGGTGGGAAAGAAAAGCTGTGGTCAGAGAAAGGTCCCTGTAGGCTCTGATGTTATAACCCAGGATAGTGTATGTGAAATGGGCTCAAACTGTCAAGTGTCATTAGCTGTTGAGAATCTGCTGTCACCAGAGCTGAGTCTAAAAGGATTTATCGAGCACTGGATGTGGAGAATGGAATGGAAGTTGGGGCGAGATGGGAACCCAGCCCCCAGCTCACAGGAAAGAGCTGAGAGTCTGGACTAAGACCAGAGGAGGTGCTGAGGAGGCTTTAGGATTGAGGGAGCTGGAAGGGGTAGTCTCTAGAGTGGATGGTGACACTTGGGCTGGGACAGCGGTCCAAGAGGAACGGTGGAGGGGGTGCTGGGCTTGGCTCGGACCTGTTGAGATTGAGTGCTGTCGTGCGGGGGTATATGGGTGGGAGCTTGGGGGCGCCGAGGCTCTCCGAACGGGTGCTGGGAGAAAGGGCGCCTCCGGCACACTGACCTGTCTCCCGCACAGGGCTCGTGGGCCTCCAAGAAGGAGCCGTACGCCCGGGAGATGCTGGCGATCTCCTTCATCTCGGCGGTCAACCGCAAGCGGAAGAAGCGGCGGGAGGCGCGGGGGCTGGGCAGCAGCACGGACGACGACTCGGAGCAGGAGGCTCACAAGCCCGAGGCGGGGGCGCCGGCGCCAGGGGGCCAGGACCGGCCGGAG